CCCCAAAACCCCAAAACCCCAAAACCCCAAATTATAGAGAAAAGATTGAAAGTTTAACTAAAAAATTCAGATCTGGGTGTAATCCCCTGAATCTATTTTTATCCAGCAGCCATCAACCCATCGGCTTCTTCCCTCCCAAAATCAACCATATCCCCTAAATTCCTTTTACCCCATTCAAAAATTACTTTCTCCCTTACACCCATCACTCCCCACCAAATCCTCAAAACCTAAGCCTAAACTCTTAACCACCCCTTTACGGCAAGGCTGGGCTATGTCTTCGTACAGATCCGAAATTCCCACCACAAAGAAAAATGCCTCATTTACGTTTAACGAGTTAGCAGGTTTATAGGATATCTTCGTTTTCATTTTCATCGTCAGTCTCCCCTTCCAATTCATGTAAGGATTTAAGCCAGTTCATGTACATTCTCTGTTCCTTGTTGATAGACATAAATTCAGCAACTAACCCAACATCTGGAGGGAGTCCAACAGAGTAAAGATACTCAACGAAGGCTTTCTGAAGCTTTGTGCTGAGGTTATCGTAATATATCGAGAAGTACTTTCCCTGCATGTTCTTAATGGGGGTGAAGGAATCTGCAAGTTCTCTTGAGTAATGAGAGTGTAATATTCTCTATAGAGTTTTAGCCATGAAGTACTCCTATCCTCATTTCGTTATTGGCTCAGATACACTCGAATTTAATAGCTTTTCCATTCCTAAAAGTTCAGAACTCGCTTACTTTTTGATTAAGACGATATCAACAATTGTAGCATCTTCTTTTGGCTCTAAAAATGCGTCAAGATAATGTCGCCCTGAATCCTGATCTTCAAGAGGAATAGTGTCTTCTCTGACTGTAGACATCCTCATTGGTATAAATTTTCTGATCTTTTTCATCATCATATTATGTTCTTCATTATAATCTCTTTCTGGAGGCTTTATTTTTCTCCTTTGTTTTATCAAGTAACTATACTTAACTGAAGAAAGTACGTGACTTGGACTAGCATATCATTGTTTCTCTTTACAAGTTTCTGATATCTGCTAAAGGGGTCCTCCATTGGGATAAATCCATAATCCGCTAACTTGTTTCATAACTGTCTGTCTACTGTATAATTATTCTTTTCAGATTCAAGTTGGTTCTTGGCTGCATATTTGATAATCAGAGGAGACTTTAACAGACTAAATAGATTAAACTCCAGAAATACCTGAATTGTTCATATCTCTCATTCATTTTTCTATAATGCAGAAGAGCTTTCTGATCTCTAAAAGGTTATGAATGATTTTTACCTTTGGAAACGCTTTTCTACATCAGTCTCTCTTTTATACTCTTCAGCTCCTAAATTAAGGGTCAGATCATATTTTTCATAAATAAATCAACTCTTGTCTTTAAGAAAAAGGAGAATGAATAATTTTTAAAGAAAATATTTGTCCAAGGAAAATTGTCAGACTTGGACACTCATAAAGGCTTATTTATTGTGCTGATTTCTTAGAGAGACAATGGCTATTCCATTTATGAACTTTTAATGCAAACACATCATTTCTTGGATGCTTTATTATTGTAATTTATACACAGTAGTTTTTACGATAAGTGTCTAATTTCACTCAATGTTGGTTTGTTTATGATATATCTCAGAAAATTTAATACTTTTCGACTATGTGTGTTTTCTCTATTTTTGCAACCTCACATATAGTCTATGATTGCTAGATTTTTATAAAAAATTCAGTACTCAGTGCTTTCGGAGTGGCTTAAGAGTGTTTTTATACTTATTATTAAAATATATTATGAGCAAAACCATGCGAAATCAATTTAGCACAATTTGTAAGAATTTTTTTTATTAAAGCCACTAAACATTACTTGTAGCCAGCATATTTTTCACTTCCTCAAATTTTCTTCTCTTCTTCTGGAGAAACCTCTCTTCAGCCTCTGTTACAAAAGTCATACGAGGAAAAATTGCTATTGAAGAAGGTAGTCTTTGAAATCACTTTTGAGCTATTTGAAAGTTATGTCTCGAGAGAAACATTTTATGGTCTAAAATAATATATATCTCAGTATTTTTAAACTATTTCGGGGTTTTGGGGTTTTGGGGTTTTGGGGTTTTGGGG